AGAATGAACGTTGCAGTAGAATTTAAAAAACTATTAACCAGTTCACTATATTAGGAACTATCTTCTTTACTTCTTTGTTGGGTAGTCTTATGAATTTCCCACTACTTTTCAAAAACTGTAAGGCAAGGACCATCAAAGTGTTGAAAAAAATTATGACATTTTAGAGACTTTATATGATGCTGCAAGGCCACATGAAGGTGAAAACAACTTGAAGACTGACCACTAAAAACAAGACTTTGATGGACAGTTCTATCTATTAGCATCTGTCAGTTTATGAACATTTCTATTGGGAGAGCCAAAGTTACCGAAGGACCTTGCCCCATGGGTTATAGATAATGACCCAAAATGTATAAGACATAAAGCTCTAGTCTGTACATTAAGATGAAAAACTCTCAATGGTTCCTCAGACATTAAACAGCGTCATGTGTTCATTATACTTAGTTCTTCCTGATCTCTTTTGTCAGTCCAGTTGCTGATAACCTTTGCAAGGAAATTGTGAAATTCATCTCTTACTGTTTCTGGTTCTTCATCCAGGTTTGTCTGTATACACTTTACTCTGGACAGTACAGATGCTATGCAAAGAAACAGAAAATGGTTCCACATACGAGTATAAATAAACCAATGAGGCACCAGTTTAATCTGTGATGTTGTGCACCCCTCCAAGACTGTCAAACACTGCTAAGTTGGTACTTGAAGCAATACTTAATTAAGGCAATCAACAACATTGGTATTTCACATCACTTAACTATCATATCTACAATCACTGTGTGACATTTCCAGGTATGTCTACTGGCTTACAACTCCTGGAGTTAATCCAGATTTGACATGAAACAGCAAAGAGTATTTAGGAAAATAGCTATAACAAGGTACCTGGGTTACAGTTGGATGCTGGGTTTCCAATGTTTACAATCAAACACAATAAATATAATTATGAAATTCATATATCTGAACTGCAGTTATAGAAACGTATTTGTACATGATCTTCACAGTAAAGAGCACTATTTAAGCAATAGAGAAAATCAGACCTGAAAAAATTCAGGCCAGTATGGGATTCGAACCACTGTTTATAATCATAGAAGAGAGGTAAATAATGTGATTAGTTACTCTGACTTGTGACAAAATAATTTGGTTTTATCAACTCAGTTGATCATGTCAATTAGTCATCATAAAAAGATTCTAAAGCTGACATTTCAAGCATTAGCCCTTCCTTAGAGCTAACAAAGGCCCCATGACTGAAATGTCAGCTTTCATATCTCTTAAATGAGGCCAACTCACATTATCAATTCAGTTGATAATGTAAATTAGCCATCATAAAGAGATTCTAAATCTGACATCTCAGGCATTAGCTTCCTTAGAGCTAATGAAGGCCCAACAATTGAAGTGTCAGCTTTCATATCTCTTGACAGAGTCCAACTCACATTATCAATTCAGTTGATAGAACCAAACAATCTTCTAAAACCTTAGCACCGCCCTTTCTTTAACCTTACCCATGTTTTGTTGACATTAAGTATTTATTTTTGTTTGTGATGCAACCCACAAAGCCTCAAGGATCTTGGCTAGGCTAAATCAAAAGCCAAACTCTTCTTGAGACAAACATAGCCTTGAAACAGTATGTGGTCATCTATGCTCCTGATTTTCAACATCCCCTTCCCCTCTCCTCAATTAAAAAAAAAAATGATATTAAAATCAACAAAATGCTATCTTACATATCTCTGATCTTGTGGTATCTGCAGCAGAAGGGCGACGATGAGCAAACACCATACATTGTGAATCCTTCAGTCCTTGACTTTGCACAAACTGTGTGTACCTTAAAGAAAAAAAGAGGTATCAATCATTCTTTGCAAAATATAACTTCTTGTTAGTTATTCCTTATTTAGCTGTATTGCTTACACCAACCTAAAAGTACTTGAAGCAACCAGCTCTGGGTGGAGAGATGTACCATGAAGTAGTACATACCAGAAGGATACAAATGAAATTAACTTAGCCTGGACTCCAATCCACAAAACCCAGTCTGGACTCTTGCATACTGATTATGAGATTATTGCATTTTTCTTTTAAACCTTCAACTCCCAAGATCTGATTTTTAATTCTCTCCTCTAGCTGCTCCATGTTTCCTTATAAATCAGTTGTGATAATTTGGTGTTAGATCAAGATAACTCATAGCTCATGAGGTTGAGTATTCTCATTACCCATCTGCTTGATAATGTATGGATATTGTGGAGAGAAATTACATGCTAATCACTTCTAAGTTAGGCTCAAAACAAACAAATGGAAATAATCTATATATGTGTTCTAAGTTCTGCCTTACCAAGTCCCTAGTTCCTGGTCATGGCTGGACTGATCAGGATTGTAAATGATTAGAACACCATTTGTGTCCTTTTGGAAAGCTGCCCAACAGGTAGAAAACCTTAAATAGGCAAAATGCTATATTGAATATAGAGAAAATTAAATATACCCTGGTCATACTTAGCAAGCAACAAGAAAGGATTCCTGAATACCTGGTAGGCTCTTTGAAAAAAGTAATAATGTACCTCTCTTCAGTCATTTTACCTATGAATTTATTTCACTAGATGACTTTAGAACTCAAAGTAAAAGCATGCAAACAGCTTCAAGCATGGGAAAACCCAGGACCAGGTAAGTGAAATCTGATTTCAGATTTGAAAGCTCCAAAGGAAAATTTAAACCATTCTTTTTTTCGCAATTTGATGATTGGATGCCGTAAAAGGAAAAGAGAAATTATCTGAAAGGCTTTTGAACAAAGGAGTAAACCACCACAGATTAAAATTGAACTGTGGGTTACCTCGAGTCAGACTTCAAACAACCTACCCCAGGCACCCTTTTCTCAGCAACCCAATGGGTGCGTAAAGCTGTTCTGTTTTCATTCAAAATGGAGATTTCAAAAGTTTTTTAAAAAAAGCATGTAACGATGAAACAATTTTTAAAAATCGAGTTAAAAAAATCAATGGAAACTCGATTTTTTAAAAAAATGCAATAAAAATATCAGCTAAAGAAACAAAATGGACTGGTTTGGGTACCAGAACCTACTTTTCTAACCTTTAAATTGATTTTTGAAAGATGGCTTCAGGCAAAGTTACCAGGACTTTTGTGAGACGGACCTCTGGTAAATAGGACACTGGGTTGGCCTAAGTCTTTAATCTGATTGGTTTAGAAGGTGGGTCACATTTCCTGAACCAATCACAGACCCTAGTGAAGCAAAATCATAGCAATCTCAGAAATCTTGTGACACTTAATTGAAAATTGCTCTAACTGCCATTGCCTGTCCTTTGTTTCTATAGAATGATACCATAAAAAGTATGTCTGTAATCCCCCTGGATCTCATCCCAGGGTAACAGAGAACACTGATGTATATAGTATTGAATGTTACAAAATTATGGAAATTGCTAATTATAATCAGTATGAGAAACTAACTTGCCCATGTTTAGGTCATGTGACATGATGTGTGCTTTTTAGATAATGAGGGTTCCCAATAGTTTTTTGTGATCTGGGACTGAGTTTACGTGAAGGCCAGGATCAGTTATTTATAGTAAGACACAGGAATCGGCGATTTTAAAATAATCAAGTTAAACAAACTAGGAACCAGGATGTCGGTTGACGAGAATTTAGAAAAAAAAAACTGATCTTCCCAGTCAACGAAGAGCACCAGATGTACAGCCTATCTAGCATTCAAGAGGTGGTCAGGCTGGTCAGCAACACTCTTGGTCTTCAGTTATTGTGCAGAAATATAGAAATAATTTCTACCGGAAGCCAAGTTCCCATAATTTTATGAAAAATCCCAATTGGACCACAGGGTAACATGGCATCTAAGACTGATACGTCAGTGGAAAAAGCAAAACGAATAGCTGTGGTTCTCGCACTGCAGCATCTAAATCAAGGTCTTGTGTACAGCTATCACCAACCTTCACTTTCCAAATCCCTAAGTTCAGCTTTTCCTCCCTTGCCAGCTTCATACTTAGCACTTCGCCAGCGGGTCATCCTTGGTGTAAAAACCTGACGAGGTTTTCTTTGTTTCATGAGGTATTGTTTTGCTCTATGCTAATGTTTTGTTGTCTTTGTTTTACATCACTCGTGAGCTTCACAAGTTTTTACACTAAGGATGAGCCCATAAACAACACCAGATCAAGAAAACACAAGGGCACTGGACATCATCAGGTAAAGCATTCATGTTAGGTCATGCCCCAATAACTAATACATATTGATATGTACTTCATGGCTGAATGCCATATAGACGACATATAGTTCTATGCAGTATAGACGACATATCCATCGTTTACCATCCCTATCCATCCTTTACCATCCCTAGCCATCCTTTACCATCCCTATCCATCCTTTACCATCCCTATCCATCCTTTACCATTCCTATCCATCCTTTACAATCCCTTGCCATACCCAGCCGTCCTTCACCACCTCTATCCATCCCTAGCCATCCTTTACCATCCCTATCCATCATTTATCATCCCTAGCCATCCTTTACCATCCCTATCCATCCTTTACCATCCCTATCCATCCTTTACCATCTCTATCCATCATTTACCATCCCTAGCCATCCTTTACCATCCCTTGTCATACCCAACCGTCCTTCACCATCTCTATCCATCCCTAGCCATCCTTTATCATCCCTAGCCATCCTTTACCATCTTTTACCATCCCTATCCATCCTTTACCATCCCTATCCATCCTTTACCATCCCTATCCATCCTTTACCATCCCTATCCATCCTTTACCATCCCTATCCATCCTTTACCATCCCTATCCATCCTTTACCATCCCTCTCCATCCTTTACCATCCCTCTCCATCCTTTACCATCGCTATCCATCCTTTACCATCCCTATCCATCCTTTACCATCCCTAGCCATCCTTTACCATCCCTATCCATCCTTTACCATCCCTATCCATCCTTTACCATCCCTATCCATCCTTTACCATCCCTATCCATCCTTTACCATCCCTATCCATCCTTTACCATCCCTAGCCATCCTTTACCATCCCTANAAAGGATGGCTGGGGATGGCTAGGGATGGTAAAAGATGGCTAGGGATAGCTAAGGATGGTAAAGGATGGATGGCGATGGCTGAGAATGGTTAGTGATGGCTAGGGATGGTAAAGGACAGCTAGGGATGGCTAGGGATGGTAAAAGTTGGCTAGGGATAGCTAAGGATGGTAAAGGATGGATGGGGATGGCTGGGAATGGTTAGTGATGGCTAGGGATGGTAAAGGACAGCTAGGGATGGTAAAGGATGGATAGGGATAGTTAAAGATGGCTAGGGATGGCTATGGATGGTAAAGGATGGCTGAGTATGGCTAGGGATGATAAAGGATGGCTAGGGATGGTAAAGGATGGCTATGGAGGGCTGGGGAGGGCTGGGGAGGGCTAGGGATGAATGGGGATGGCTAGGGATGGCTAAGGATGGCCAGGGATGGCTAAGGATGGTAAACAATGGCTAGGGAGGGCTAGGGATGGTAAAGGATGGCTATAAAGGGTAACGGATGGCTGGGGAGGGCTAAGGATGGTAAAGGATGGCTATGGCTGGCTTTGGAGGGCTGGGGAGGGCTAGGGATGGATGGGGATGGCTACGGATGGCTAGTGGTAGCTATGAATGGCTAATGATGGTAAACGATGGCTAGGGATAGCTAGGGATGGTAAAGGATGGTTAGGGATGGTAAAGGAAGGCTGGGGATGTAAAAGATGGCTAGGGATGTCAAAGGATAGCTATGGACGGTAAAGGATGGCTAGGGATAACTAAGGATAGTAAAGGATGGCTAGGGAGGGCTAGGGATAGTAAAGGACGGCTAAGGATGGCTAGGGATAGCTGTGGTTGGCTAAGGATGGTAAACGATGGCTAGGGATAGCTAAGGATGGTAAAGGATGGCTAGGGATAGCTAAGGATGGCTAGGGAGGGCTAGGAATGGTAAAGGATGGCTATGGATGGCTAGGGATAGCTATGGATGGCTAAGGATGGTAAACGATGGCTAGGGATAGCTAAGGATGGTTAGCACTATATGTCGTCTATATGGAACTATTACTATATGTTGTCTATATGGCATTCAGCCATGAAGTACATACCTACATATTAAGTATTATAACATTCATGTATGTTGCACGATATGTGCTAAGTAACCTTACTTTATCAGTTGCCTTTATTCTACCTCACTAACCCCCATCTACCGTAATTTACCCATAATCTACTACGTTCACCCCCATATACCCTTGATTAACCATGTTCTACCGCGTTAACCCTCACCTACCTTAGTTAACCCATGTTCTACCACTTTCACCCTCACCTACCCTAGGTAACCAATGTTCTACCACATTTACCCCCATCTACCCTAGGTAACCCATGTTCTACCACGTTTACCCTCATCTACCCTAGGTAACCTATGTTCTACCCGTTTACCCTATCTACCCTAGGTTAGATATGTTCTACCACGTTAACCCTCATCTACCCTAGGTAACCCATCTTCTACCACGTTTACCCCCATCTACCCTTGATTAACCATGTTCTACCACGTTCACCCTCATCTACCCTAGGTAACCCATCTTCTACCACGTTTACCCCCATCTACCCTTGATTAACCATGTTCTACCACGTTCACCCTCATCTACCCTAGGTAACCCATCTTCTACCACGTTTACCCCCATCTACCCAAGGGTAGATGCGCGTAAATGTGGTGGAATATTGATTACCTAGGGTCGATTGGGGTAAACGTGGTAGAA